AAACATAACTTTTCTATCCAAAACTTACTGATGTATAGAAAATCCATTAACCAGAAAAAATGCGCCGTACGTTATCATTGATATTTGTGCTCCCCAGGAAATGCCGCGATATGGATATTTACAGCGGTTATTCTAGTCAGAATGGGCATGAATGCTTAGATGACGACATATTACAACTTTTAAAGTCAGTGGTTTCAGTTAATATACATATATGTAAACAAAACAGTGAATTTTAGAGAAGCCGTACGTTACCACGATCAAACCGGTGGAAAATTCTCTCGCTTTGAATCTGTTGACGCGCATTTCAAATGAAGTACGGGACAAAACATCATGAAATGAAATCCTATGTGCCCGAAAAATTGTGGAGAAGGTTGTTCTATGTACCTTTACACTAGAACATTACGAATTTCAGAGAAAAAAGGGAAAAACTGCATCCGCCATCTTGTTTGTTTGGGTAAAGAACGGCGTGATTCTCCCCCGTGACTTTATGATGTTCAATATATAGTCTAATATACTAAACGGCCACTTAGTTCTATGTTTATTTTATTTATAGATAACATAAAGCAAAATGTATGGTCACAATTACCAACAAAATAAAAACTTATGGGTAAATTTCAACAACCCCCCCCCCCCCAAAAAAAAAAAAAAGTAACACGCTAACATTGCCAAATTATACAAATTGAAGGGTTGCCTACAGGCTTTGCCCTTGAACAATCCCACAAATTTTCAACCGGATTTGAACCCGCACGTTTGGCTTGCCAATGAAGAGCACGGGTACGTTAATTGAGTTTATTGGAGTTGAAGAGTGGTAGTTAAGTTGAGTTGTTGCATTCTTTCACTTGGACATCTTATTTATTATACAAGCATAGAGTTCTTAATGATAGACATTTTCAGAGAAAACATATTTAGACAGATTTCTGTTGTTTTTTAAACAGGGGAATGTCGTAACAATATCATCAAACACTATTATTTGACCGAGCGAATCGTGTACCGGAATTTTGCTGCTCCCTTTACTTCGGAACACCTCGCCTATTATTCCTAATTTGATCTTATCCGGAGACTGACGGAAATAGTTGATATGTTTCTATTGTTCACAGCTGCAATTCGACCAATCAGAAGTTCTTACTTTCCAGCCATTTGGACAATTAAACAAGTCTTCAACGGCTGCAAAAAAGACCTCTCGCATGCTTCTTTGTAAACATGTTTTGACTGCATTTTTGCATTTTATGAACTTTATGAAAGTAATGATTTTTCAAACACAACTCATTTGAATAAACAAAAAAAATACAACAATGGAATTAAACGAAGAGCACCGCATGCGATGTTAACGCTCATCAGTCTGGTAAGGGCAACGACTACTAAAAAAAGACTTTCAGAATAATGCCTATTGTTTTGTTTTACAACTATGCCTTTTATAATAAAGAAGTATTCCAAGTTTCATGTTGTTTTGAAATCATTTTACTAAATAGATAATTTTGATTTGATTTGATTTCCTTTTTTGTAGAATTAGTACGTTGTCAAGGTTATTGTTTTACCATCAAGCACTGAGAATAATCAAGGACGCTGTTCGGCTATTAAAACCGCTCTTGCAGTTTTAATATGTATTTACTTTATAATACATACCTATAAGATAAACATAGTGTCGAGAAAATTTACCTTTCTGCAAAATGAAATGACAAACTTAGTTATATATTTAGAGTGAAATAATGGAATAAACAACTAAACAGTTTTATTTACACAAAGACTTTTCAAGCATAACATATTTGAAAAAAAAAGAATCAAAACAAAGAAATTACAGCAATAAATCATTTACAACAAACTGATAAAGAAATTATACAAGAAGCTAAATCAAGAGCACTGCACGCGATGTTAGCGCTCGTTTACCTATAACCAATTTTGACCAAAAATTACTATAATAAAATAATGGGCATTACTACAAAAACATAGCTTTCAGAATAATACCTATTATCATGTTAATCAAGTTTTCCAAGCTCGTAGTTTTAAGTCATTCTACTTAATAGGCAAATTTGTCAAAAAGTTAAAAATGTGGCATAACAAGAGCCACCCCCGGGCGGGGGGCAACGCTCGACTTTTTTATTTTTTCTAAAAGCAAACAAATAAACGATTTAAACAAATCGTAAAGAATAAAGTTAAGTTTTCCTTTTTTTAATTTTTATAGGCCTGTCTAGTCACACTAGTTTTAGAAGAAAAAATATATATTTAAAACTCAAAGTCAAGGTAGTTGAACATTAACAAGGTCTTGTCCAAATGTTGTTTTGTCAAAGTATGAAGATAATCCATCTTTAATTACCAAGTTACTTTCAATTAAAGCAAAAATCAGTGAAAATTCAATAATTTAAACTTCAAGGTTAAGGTCATTATAAGGCCAAGGTCAACTTGAGTTTGAAATACTAAAGAATGTTCTGTTATAATATGAAGTCAATCCATTTAATAATAACAAAGTTACAGCCAGTAACAGCAATAAAAAAAATCATAAATTTGACCTTCAAGGTCAAGGTCATATATGAGTGAAGGTCAATATCTGTCTATTTAACTTAAAGGGCTATCCTTAAAGATTATTATGTTCAAGTTTGAACACAATCCATGAAAATAACAAAGTTAAAGCAACTGATAGCAAAGAAACAAGCAAAATTTGGACATTTGACCTTGAAGGTCAATGTCTGTTATGAGTGAAGGTCAAGGTCTGTCTAGTCAACATAAAGGTCTATCCTAAAATTATTATGTTCAAGTTTGAAGACAATCCATTGAAAAATAACAAAGTTATAGCCACTTATACCAAACATCAGTGAAAAACAAGCAAAATTTAGACATTTAACCATGAAGGTTAAGGTCATTTATGGATGAAGGTCAAGGTTAGTCTGGTCTACTGAAAGGTCTTGTCCCAAGGGTTGTGATGACTAAGTATGAAGACAATACATCAATAACTTAAAAAGTTGTGATCAACATACAAGTTTACAGAAGACAACGGCAACGTTAACGACAACGGCAACGTCGACATGACTATAACAATACCTTTACTTTTTTTCTAAAAAAATGTCGAGCTTAAAACGATTAACCTGAATTAGACAAAATGTAAAGGTGATATCACTTACATGTACATTGTTTACATTTGTCTTGAATATTCTGTCAGTAATTTATTACATTTATAGTTTAAAATCCGCGCTAACCACGCTAAATATATAAAATGGACTTTTCGATCATTCAATCAAGGCAAATCCATTAAACGTTTATAGGGAAAAATTAAAATATGCACTAACTGAATAGTGAACAGCGAAGACCATAATCAGTCGGCACTAACGGCTGATTTTGGTTTGGTTAAAGTATGAAGGTGAAGAAATTAAAACAACAACAACAACAAACAAGAGCCACCGCCGGGCGGGGGGCAACGCTCGACTTTTTACTTTCTATAAAGCAAACAAAGAAATGTTTGAACAAAATCTTAACGTTTCCTTTTTATAAATTTAATCGGTCTGTCTTGTCACATTAGTTTTGTCTATATATTTTGTATATATAAATATCAGTATATATATATACTATATATATATAAATAGAAACACGCAATTCTATAAATAGAAAATTCTATAATTTAAATAGATACGCGTGGTGGTGGTGGTGGTGACACGTGGTGGTGGTGGTATATATATATATATATATATATATATATATATATATATATATATATATATATATATATATATATATATATATATATATATATATATATATATATATATATATATATATATATATATATATATATATATATATATATATATATATATATATATATGATATAAACAACAAGGTCTTGTCCTTAAGTATGTTCTGTTATAATATGAAGTTGATCCCTTCAATAATAGCAAAGTTACAGCCAGTAACAGCCAAAACAATAAATATTTCAATAATTTGAACTTCAAAGTCAAGGTCATTAATGAGTGAAGGTCAAGACCTGCCTGGTTATTTTTAAGGGTTATCCTTGAATATTATTATGTTCAAGTTTGAAGACAATCCATTCAAAAATAACAAAGTTACAGCCAATAATAGCCAAAAAAATGAAAATTTCAATAATTTTACCTTCAAAGTCAAGGTTATGAGTGAAGGTCAAGGTCTGTCTGGTTATTATTAAGAGATATCCTTGAAGATTATTATATTCAAGTTTGAAGACAATCCATTCAAAAATAACAAAGTTACATCCAATAATAGCAAGAATAAGCCAAATTTGGATTTTTAACCTTGAAGGTCAAGGTCATTTAAGGATGAAGATCAAGGTTAGTGTGGTCGACTGAAAGGTCTTGTCCCAAGGGTTGTTGTGGCCAAGTATGAAGACAATACACCAACAACTAAAAAAGTTATGATCCAGGTACAAGTTTGCGGACGGCAACGGCAACGCCGCCGCGACTATCACAATACCTCTACTTTTTTCCGAAAAATAAGTCGAGCTAAAAACAACAAATAAAAAACACTTAACATCTGTTATTTCTATGAAACTTAAAATTAGTTTGCTGCAATGTTGTCAAGTAATTTATGTAACGTAGTAATCACTAATCTCAGAATTATGTTGTAGCATGTCAAAATTTGAATAAATTTCTCTAACACCGTTAGTAACACTAGGATTTTGTTGAAAAAATGTAAATTCTTTCATAATTTGTAAAGTACATAGTGCAAAGAATACCGGTATTAAATTTTGTTTTTGCACTGATTCTGTTTTGATACATTTGTATGTTTTTCATGCGTTTGATTTTTTTAGATGAATTAGATAGGTTTCACTTCATTTCTTATTATTAAATCTTTACAGTTCGTTATTTTTTCTCAATATCGTTCAACTACAATAAGCCAGACTGCACGAAAATGTAGTTTCTGGCCACAAAGGCTAACCGCTTTTGATTCCAAAGAGACAAGAATTCAGTTTGGTCCGGATCGCTTTCAAGTTGGACATATGTATTTTCATAACAGAATAAAGTTATGTACCATTCCCTAAATAACTTTTGAACGACCTTTTAATGTAAAATGAATAAACACGTTAGAAACACTTGTGTGAGCAAATTTGTTATGACTAAAACAAGATATATCTTATAAGAAACATACTTCACAAACACGCGAAACTCTGATATAGATAGTATGCAAATTACCTTTTGTTCATATGATAATTGAATTAGCTTTGATCTCGGTTTTTCAATCGACATAAATCCACATCTAAATAAAAATTCCGTGGTAAATGTTAGTGTTGATAATTTTCTAGCATTTAAGATACAACGTTGATTTAAGTTGATATTTCTGATTCCCTTAATTATACGATGTCTTTGTTTTGCATATATTAAAGTAAAAAAATAGCTGTAAAAATATTATATTTGTATGCACATGCGTCATGTCTGTTTTGGTATAAAAGAACCAGTATGAATGTAAAAGTGAAAAAAATTTAACACCAAGGACTCTGGCATCTAGTTGATTGGTAGTTAAACAGTGGATACACGTGGCGGTTATTCCAACGAAGCCGTAATAAATTCATCGCAATTAGTATTTCCAACATCAGTGACGATCATGTTTTCTCCATCTTGTTGGAAAGATATTGCACGTGGAGCTTCTAATTCAGTTGAATCCATTAAGATTCGGATAATCTGTCCGGTTTTAGAGACTTGATGAACGTTTCTGGACTCCTTACCACATACGTACAGGTTACCCTGGTTGTCGGTTGCCACACCAGATGGATAGCTCAGATCCATGTGCTTGTATCTGAACATAAGGCAGCCTTCGACGGTGAGAGCTGTGACACTGTGCAATCGGGAATCGGAAATGTACATAACATTTTGATAACTATCTGTTGCAATGTGCTCTGGATACGCAAACAGCTGCCGACCGCTGTTATCTTTCTGGTAGATTCGCACGTACTTTCCTTCCATTGTAAACATTCTGATACTAGGTGTTTTGCTCCAAGGATCACAGGTTGTTGCAAACCTATCTCCAACAACAGCCACGGCCCAGCATTCGCAGTCGGTTTCAAACGAATAGATGATTTCCATTTCTGTTCCGCTGTAGCAAACGATAAGTATTTTCTGATCTCCAGGGACCGTGACAACAACCCGATCGTCGTCGATCATCTTAACGTCCCATGGATTGTTCGGTAAGTTAAGCCTATTGCATAAAACACCTCGTTTGTTGAACATTTTTAAGCATGCGTTATTCCAGTCCGTTAAAATCATTTTGCCACCATAGACAAACGTACATCCACTAAAGCAACATGGGTTTGTATCCGCACCGCTTACACCGTCGTTTCTACTGATAATCTGCAACTCTTTCCTGGAAAAATCAGTCTCTGTGGCCTGCGACAGAAATCCTGGTAATTTTGATCCACTAGGACGAGTTATGACATCACCAAGACTGTTCATACTCTTAAAGAACTTGTCCACCCAAGGGTCGGGTCTGAACTCATAATCGAGCCGAGTAGCGTTGTTAAAGTCGCGTCGTAGAATTTCTTCATATACAGGACATTTTTCGATTATGTTTCTCTTGATTTTCTTAAAGTCTTCAGTGCCGTGGGTACATGTCTGAGGACAGAGAAAGAAAATGTGCTCTTAGTTCAATATTATAAAAATCAGAAAAACAAAATCTCGTAAAAACAAAATTTTGCCTTTATAAAGGAAAAACATCTTTAATAGCAAGCGATACCATTACTTTCTATTAATTTTAGCTGTCTTCATAAAAAACAAACAAACAAAAACAACAACAAACAACGTAGGACTTGATTATTCCTCAAAAAAACTTTTCAGTCTTCAGGAAAAGAAATATTAAACGGCATTCCCTCGTATTATTTCGTGAATGTGATAAGAGTAAACAAACGGCTTAAAGCACAATAACACAGCACAATGAAACAAATCAATATCATCAAATATTTCCAATTATCGTCTAATATTTCCGAATATCATCTAATATTTCCAATATCATGGAATATTTCCAAATATCATATAATATTGCCCATTATCATCGAATAGTTACCAATATCATCTGATGTTGCCCAATATAACTGAACAGTTCCAAATATCACCTAAAATTTTCTGTATCATCTATTATATCATACCGTATGAAAAATAACCAATGAACTTTCAGCGTTTGAACCACGTGATGTTTAAATAACAATCACTATTGAATATGTTATCAATTTAGGCTCGTTCCATTTCCGGAGTCTAAAAATTCCATTTCAAATACATATTTTACACCCATTTAGCCTCGTTTTCATTTTAGAGTTGAAAATATCTATATCAAATGCATATCGTACTCAAGATAGCCTCGTTTTCATTCTGAGAGTCAAAAATGTCAATATCAAATGCATATCGTACTCCATCTAGCCTCATGTCGATTTACCGGATAAAAACATTCATGCATTAATATAAATTCCTTATTGTCCTTAAAGTAACACATTTCCATCAAAATACAAATAAAATGTGAAATAAAGACGTCATTATACATTGATGACAACAATACTACTAGTCTACTTGACTCCTACATAGATATAACAGATGTGTGCTCGTCTAATAGATAGCTCAATGCCATCGAATTTTTACAAATATTATCTTTTATTGTCCTTTATCATAGAGTATTGTTAACGTTCATTGATTGTTGCCAAATGTCATTACCGATGAACATGAGACTTTATTTTGTATAACATTTTGTCAGAATCAACCGTGGTCATTTAGAGCTCAAGGACAACCTCCCTGCCAAATCTGAGGGTAGTTAGCCAGTGCATTGCTAAGTTATGAATTCTACATGTTTAAGTGGCAAAGATCAGAGTGACCTTTACCTTTGGCCTACTGACTTCAAAACTGAAACTGCCACTGCATGACTTGAATACCCCCCACCCCCCATTCATGCAGCTTTGCCTTGGGTGTTCTATCATGAATATATGAGAACATAATTATATGCTTCAAATGTGAAAATGTCAAAATCAATACAGTGTGGACAGGCATTCTTAAGCATCTGGGCAGACAAGCTTATTGTAGTAAAAGTCCCTGTGACTTTGACCTTTGACACAGTCACCTAAAAAATCAATAGGGTCTAACCAACCTCAATACCAAATATGAAGACTGTTGAACAAAGCATTCTTAAGCAATTGAGTAGACAAGCTTTTTGAACTCAAGGTCCCTGTGACCTTAACCTTTGACCCGGTGACTTCAAGATCAATAGAGGTCACATGATTGTCATGCTCAACCATCATGCCAAATATGAAGACTGTGGGTCAAAGGGTTCTTAATTTATTCGGAATTTGAATGAATCAAATCTAGCATAAACTTCATTGTAAGACCTACATTTAGCTGTTCCATTGAAAAGCTTGTCTCTTTCTGTACTTTCATACACCTCTTGATTTGTCCGTCAATTGTTTTCATGTGGTTAGTATGTAGTTCGTCAAGTCTCGCCATGAATTCTTTCTGCTTAGCTAGTAAGTGTGCAATTAAATCTTCAACAATGTCTAGAAACTCATCTGCAACATCTTCCTTGCTTTCTATCAGTTGTTTCTTAAGAACGTTACGATCCTCTAGAAGTGTACCTGTGATAAACAAAGTTTAACTTATTTGTCAAAAAAATCGATTTATTAGCCCAAATTTATCAACTTGAATTTCAAACACAATTACGGAAGCTTATCAGGGCCTACAGTTGATGAGATGTTTTGCGCTAAGTCAACTAATTTTTATTCGCATTTACACATCTCAATAAAATTTACTGGCAAACATGATAATTTTTCAGGCATTGCAACTGTCAATGTGCCATTTATACAAGTTATTGATTGGACAATGATTTTACATTTAGCGTCATTGTAACCCTAATTTTTGACCCAATAACGTCAGAATTATTAGGTATCATGTACTGATCAGGTGCAATGATCTCTCTAGGTAATACAAACCATGGCTTATTCCTTCTTTTGCCCTCAAACATCCTTATAGCCTATCTACTGCAATAGGCAATGTCCCTACCAAATAAAACAAGTTAAGTGCTGATGCTGCACATCAAAGACGCCGCCAATGATGTGAACAGTCAATCAGCATTGAAAACCGTTCTCTATTACAGTTGAATTTCCGGTGCACAAATCAATTTTTTTCTCCATGTTCTTGGTATGTGCTCGTTTTTTAATAATTAAGTTGATTATGTAATGCCATGTCTGATGTAGCATAACCGGTGAGTAGAGTTCGGCGTACTTTGTTAACGGTTGAGGGAGAACCGCCTCTCTGATAGTGGGCGTGGTTTAGGCTTTGTAACTTGTAATTTAATGATTCGACAAGTGATATTGATCAAAGTTGTTCTGGTTTCCTTTCGCCCAGTCAACGAAAACTAAATGCAAGGATAGTTACGGAGCATCATATTAAATTTGGCGACAATTTCAGGCGGAGCCGAACTTCAACAGAGGCGGAGCAAATGAAGTAAGTGACATTACCTCAGTCGTTACCTCTCTCAACGGTTTTAGAAGTTTTAGAACGATCGACTATAGACTGGCTCATTGGCACGTTATTTATGATGTAGATAAAATTAGAGAATGATAAAAAGAATATGATTTTCAAACATGGCTCTATCACTTCAGTCAAACGTTTATTCTAATCCCTTAAAGCTCTGTGACATGTTGTACATCAGAAAAGCCTTTTTTTATTAGAAAATTTGAAAACAGTGTGATGTTGTTAAAACAAAAAATATAATACACAAAATCAAGTCTAAAATTTTCCCCATTGCTGTATGGACAAATGCATATCTACTAGACGCCGCTTGCAAGTGGTTATTATAAGGTTTGCATTAGTAAGTTTACATTATTAAATTTATACCAGGAATATGAAAACTTTCAATTTATAGTAAAATAACTGTAGACTTTAAAGATATCAATTGAGAATAAAGAAAAAATGTGATAAAAGTGTGTTTGCTTTATTCGCTTATGATGGAAAATGAAAGTAGTTTCCATCGTGTTAACGTTATAGCTTATAACTGATTTGAATTCAAAATGAGTCTATTTAAACTTATTTGGTAATAAATCAAGCTTTGAAATGTTACGCCAGTAAGCACACTTGTATAGCTTAATCGATGAACAGAAAACTCGTATGTATACGATCGATTTTGTGTCTTAATAGAATAACAAGTTAATCTTGAAATTTGAATAATTCACGGTATTAATTCTTTTAGCGTAATTATGGTAATTATGTTATGTTTTAGAGAAAAGATTCGACAAAATTTCTCATGTAAAGTTTAAGTAAACATTTTTGTTTTAAAAAAAACTGGCCTCTTTCATTAATACTTCAAATAGCTATTTTTTACGAGATTATCATATTTTCCTGTTTTACATGGCAGTTCTCCGATGTCTGAATATAATGTGGATTTGCGACAAAGACTTTTCATATGTCATTAATTTCTGTAATAAGTTTGTTCTTTATTAATATCGGGTAGTTATACTTTAATGTTCCATTGGATCAAGTATACCAGTAAGTGATGAAGATTGAATATCGCTTTGGGGGCAGGGAATATGTTGCACTTTCTAAAATTTCATTTTACTCAATAAAGCCGTGTTTGTGTTTGCGGTATTCAACTATTAGATTTTGTTTGCTGTCCCCTTTTTGAATTTTTGGATTTTAATAAATTAAAGAATATCAAACAAGTTCACTTTTAGAAGAAGTTACCCTAACCTTACACACGCAAGTTAAAATCACATATAAAACAAAAATAAATGTAGAGCAATTTCATGATAAGCTTTTCTGAACTAAATAAAATAAACATTAATTCGATATTCGGTATTTTCATAATACTACTTATAGAGATATTTGAAGAAATGCTAGGTGAGGCTTTATATAAAGCGTTATATAAAGCGTTATATAAAGCAACAACCATGCATCTCGTTAAAAGTTTCACAATTGAAAAGAAATATAGCAGCTACTACATATTTACCAATATACATGTATGTGGTATAAACATTTTGAATGTACAAAAAATGACGTTACTATGGTGGCTGATTTGTGACATTCGCGTTATCCCCCCGCGGCCCCACCAAGCGAAAAGTCAAGAATTAACTAGTAAAAACTTTCGTCCCGCGACCCCGCCGTTTAATTTCTTAAAACTCGCTCCGCGCCCCGCGGGCGAAGTTTTATTTATTAAGCTTCGTCCCGCTCCCTCGCTAATTAGTGTGTTTTTGCTCTGCGCCCCGCCATTTAAACTTGTCAATTTTCGACTTTTCGCTTGGCGGAAACACGAATGGCACAAATCAGCCACCATACGTTACAAAGTTATTATAGAATTATAAAAGACAGTGTACTCAGAGTTATGTAGTCAATTTTTATGAGCAGCGACCTATGTAAATACCTGCGAAAGTTTCAAATTTTTTCAACTTTTCTTCAATATTGCGGCGGTCACGTTCCATAGTTTGAGCTTCGGCCCACTCGAACGCTGGAACAAGAAATTCACACTCGGCGTGTTCGTCTGCTGCTTCCTACAAATTAACAAATAATCTATTGTTATTATATGTCCTATCTATATACGTGTTCCGAAACTTTGTGTATTAGTATTTAAGCCTTTTACGGCAAAATCACTCCAATTGCTTGTCAGACTATTGCAACTACGGCTGCCACGACATCAAGGGGATACTGACAAAAATTATTATTATTATTATTATTACTATTATTATTATTATTATAATCATATTCTATCTGTTTGCGCACAGTCGTAATAAATAATCTCTATTGACTCAATACAATTCTAGCGTTTTAACTCTTAGAATGTTGGAACCGAAAGTGATTAATTAAAGCCACCAACACATAGAACAGTCCATTTTATAAATTCATGCAGCCTGATCTGGCGTTATAAAGTACTGTTGAGAGCTCAGTTTTTGGTTTAATATTTTAATCCCTTAATTTTTTAATGGACTGTTACATGTACAAATTTAAAGCATGTCATAATCATTAATCACAAACTAATGGTTCAGTTCTATAATGCCTCGTGTCAACGTCTTATTGTGTGTCGCATTTTGATCACGAGTACATGATGAATAAGTGGACAAGGATAATGAAATTGCCTTCTGTATTTGAAGCGCGTTGCTATGTTTGTAATGTTAAATACCTTCACTATTTTTTCAAATTTATTTCTAGCAAATATGAAGGGAAAAAAGGATTCCATCTCAAAGATTCAAACTTTTTTTTCTACATACAATTTGAGTTTCTTTTCACATATCAAATAAAGATGCTTGTCACACTTTTTATCAGACCCACCATAACAACTTATTAAAAAAATTCATAAGTACATGTTTATATATCCTATTGCATTATAATCTCTAAGGCATATAAAAAGTGCAAAACATTTAAGTTAGACAAATTTAAATACTCTCCCTTCTAACCAATTCAACACAAAATGAAGATTTGTGTAAACACAAAAAGTATCAAAAATAACTGCCGTTTTGTAACATAACACATATAGCCTACCTGACTAGAACAAAGTTTCATGTGATCCACACAGTAATAATCAGAATCATCAAACGCTTCATTTCCTGATTTACCACCGGATCTACTTGAATTGACCCTTGACGTCGGTATATCTAATTCTGTGATTTTTCCGGAACCGGCCGAGCCTGGAAGTGTAACGCTAGGACTCGAAGAGAGAGCTTCCGACTGGAAACTGTTTTCTTTTTCACGTGATTGATTCACTATATTTTGATGATCGCACGAATCTCTACCATTTGAATTGACGTGAACTTTTCGTGGTACAGGGTCCTCACGAGTTGATGTGATTTCCTTTATATCCCTTTCAGTCTTTGTTTCTGTGAACGTACTAGTACCAAAATTTTGATTTTCGTCGTTGAATGCCCCTTCGTCCGGTGATTTGATTTCTTGCATTTCTATCGCAACATGACTTTCACGTTGACCAACCGGGCCCAAGCTCCGTGAATGAAAATCTGCATCATCATTACTTAGCAAGCCAGTGCTCACTTGAAGTTTCCTGTTTGTTGACTTTGCCGACATCTTTTATATACTGTAAAGAAAGTATAATTTTGAATGGAAATTGTATAATTATCATTATTAAACTGTACTTTTGCATAAAATGCGGACAGGAGCAAAGAGTACATTGATACACACTATCGAAATTTTAAGCTACGTCTTAATGATATAAAATTGTCAGGCATGAAGTACGTTTGTATAACAGACATTAAAATTAATTATATGTTATCTATAACTAATTCCGAAGGCATCTGCATACATGAAAGGGAGAAAGTCAGGAGCAGGAAATTATACACAGAAAAAATCGGAACGCCGCAGCTGTGACTAAGTATTGCCGGTCCAGAATGCTAACCATTACACTAAAGAGTCTGTCTGGTATTTTAGTGCTAATTGGCCATATATATTTAAGGGCCTAATATCATGAATATGTACGCGAAATAAACACAAAAATCAACAACATAAATTTCACCCGTATCATTTAAAAATTATTCGTTTTATTGGAAATCTAATTAAATTTACGAAAAAAGCAATTTTTGCATTTTTTTCAACTTTGACTTTTATCAAAAGTAACGTCCACATCGGTATATGTTCCGTTTGGACAATAGTGATTTTTTATTTTATCCTTACCCGCGATGCACGATGGTACGATGGTGAAAACGCGATGGTACGATGGTGAAAACACGATGTTACGATGATGAAAAATTGTACCGCTCATGGTAGGTTCAATCAAACCAAGCCACAACCACATACGCTTGGGGGTCATATTCTGCCCCCCCCCCCCAACGTGATAACCTCCGTAGACACTCTATCAAAAATGTTTAATATTTAAAGACGAATTGAACATCTGTTACAACGACAAAACTGGTTTCCAAACAATTTTTACATATATGATAAAAATACTGTCAGGTCTCTATAACGGTTTTAGACTTGATGGTATACGGTATTTTTTCATATGTGTAAAAATTTGAAAACGAGTTTTATCGTTGAAACAGATGTCCAATTAGTGTTTAAATATTAAAATATTTGATAGAATGTTTACAAGAGTGAAGACGTTGGGTGGGGTGGGGGCAGTATCTGACCCCCAAGCGTCTGTGGTTCTTGGTTGGACTTGGAAAAAGACATCGCCCGTCCAAAATTATCTCGATGTCTCTTTGACAAGTCCAATAAGTTGGACTAATTAATTGTATGAAGGACCGTTGACCTTGTTCTCGAACAGACTTTTACAAACGTCACGTCGTGGCTACCACGTTCACAATCTCCTACGCAGTGATCTCCCCTTATCAGTATAGAGATCTCCACCACACAATTTTAACAATATTTTGTTGTTTTATATTTTTTGACTTTTGAATTCATTTTTCATTATTTGTATACTTTTGATAATTTTTTTGATAAACTATATCGAACGAAAAGTTAAAAATAAAAAAAATAAATAAAAAATGACGTTAGATGTTTTATGTAGATCTAACGGTCAATATTTACATTTTAATTTAGATGTTAGGTCATCATGATGTGACGCCTGTGAAATCTACCTGGGGAGGTAATCTCTGTGAGGAGATTGCCACATTCAGTTTACATATGCGCACTTCGTTCCAAACTTTTAATTATCACGAGTTCGACTTATTAAATAAGTGACAAAGCTTGCCTGTTTATACTATACAGAAAGCATAGATATTTTGCATCATGCATTGTCCGGTGTACCTCTGCCAAGATTGTTCAAATTATAACCCTGGGGTCAAGATTGGCCCGCCCTGGGGGTAATGTGTTTTCGTTATATGTATATATCAAAACAATTTAAAAAAAATCTTCAAAACTACAAGAAGTTGAGCATGAAACATTGTCTAGTGTACCTCTTTTAAGGTTACTCAAATTATAGCTTTTGGATTAAAATTGGTCCTGTCCCAGGTCATGGCTTTTTTCAAATAATAGAGAAGAATGAAAGGGAGAATGTCTTTTATATATGTGAACATGTTATGTAATTTTTCAAACAAAAAAAGAATCATTAGCTTGGAGATAGTCTAAAGGTTATGACTATGGTAGGAAGAGAGAGGTTTGATTTTAAGAGATATATATGAAATGATTTTGAGTACATTATAAGAACATTATGATTCACACCATGTACAGAATGACGATTTTTAATCGCAACCGTTTTTTATGTTTTCAGAATACTTTTATTTTGAATCAATAATTGCACTATGGCCTATGTATCTGAACATTAGACTCATCTGCATATTGTCTTTCATTTGACATGCTGAAATATGACCTTGACCCCAAATTCACTGGACACTACTGCATTATGGCAATGTTCAAATGTATATAGAACAAACAAATATAATTAAATATAACTTAGTGTTGTATTAATGCGGTAGCATAGCATTTTTTTCACAAATGCAATCTTGTTTTGAAAATTGGAGCGATTTCATTGGTCGGCAAAAGTGTTTGAATATGGCTTACATAAAATGTTGTATACATAAAAGTTCTTTATTTCGCTTCATTGATTTTGAAATTCCGCGCGTTTATCGTGTAAACGATACCATTTGTCTCAAGAATGGCATGATTTTTCCATTTAAACATATTTTTAAGATAGCACCCTTACTTTAAACAGGCCACCGGAAGATGTCATATTTGGCATGTGTAAGCATTTAGGGACAGGTTAAAATTTGCCGGTTAGTTCTGATTGGCTATTTGCGGTTGCCAAAGAATCGTTATATCTTCAAAATTGTAATGACGTAAAAACCGAATCAATTAATTTGCAAACATATCTTTAATTTATATTTAAAATCGTATTTATTAATCATGCATACGAACCAATGTTTATAATGAGAGTTTGTATAGTTGACAATTATTTGCATACACTGTATTGTATTTACATTTGATAATTCATGAGCAGCACCTATCATCATAACAACAGTGTCTTTGTTACATATTGGAATATCTTTATTCTCTGAGGTATCATAAGAGCATGGCGGTTTTATAACATCATTTAATCAATTGCCAGTGGTTACGGCTCTTTATCTCGATTATATGCTGTTATTATTGTATTTCTTGCTTCTACACTACAGGCTATTTACTCGGACATGGTCAAAGCCTAATGATTATAGTGATAAGGATTGAAATCCGCTGAAGCCAGTGCAAGGTGACGTGAGAGGTGTTTACAGTAATTAAACCGAGTCTGCAACTGTCAACTACATGTATTAAATAGCTGTCCAGTGCTCTGTACCCTCTCCTTAAGCAATTAGAAGAAAACAATTTTTAATGTTCAACATCTTTTGCCGACCGATGAAATCACTCAAATTTTCAGAAAGATGTCATTCTTAATCGTATAGACAAACACATTTTGTCACTTATTTATTAAGTTGAACAGTTTGGAACGAAACTGAATGTAGTATCCCCGCCGTATTGTGACGACGTGATATATCGAGAACTAGGTCGACGTTTCTTCATGCAGTCAATGGCGGGTCTAGTTTTGCTAATCCCGACAAACCATACATTTTCGTCATTTTCAACTAACATCTATATTAATCAGAAATGGATGACGATTTAACTGTCAATTAATGCACACAGGCTCATGAAGCGTAAAGTATCACTCCTTTTTTATTGTTTTATGGGTTATTTAAATATATTTCACAATGAAGTGTCCGAGAAATTCATACAGAGAAGGGCTGAGGGATATCACAAAAATTATTCACGTCAGATGCTTTTCAGAAGATTGCAAAATTAAAGAATACAAGTAAATAATGTGCACTTATTTTTGTTTGTTATTCATGTATACTGATTGACGTAACTGATAAACGAAATGTGCTCCCTAAAATCCAAATATTATATTGTAAACAACTTCCTGTAAGCTTGAGGCGTTCAAATCGGGTTCAAATGATAACTTAATAATTTAATTAAGCGACCGATAGTATTTAAAGGGTTTGACTGGAGGATTATTGTGTCTAAATATGATGGCAATCCATTTATAAATAACAAAGTTATGGCCATAAATAGCAGAAATCAACCAAAATCCGTTAAATTAGATGTACTTTTAGTCTTGTTTCAGTTGTAAAATATTTTGTTTTCAATGAACTTCCTGCAATACAGTTATCTGTATGTACTTTTTACACAAATTTATCTATTAACTTTTATAATCAAAATATGCAAGTGTATTTATATGTGTGATTTAACCCGAATAAAAAATCAATCAATCAATTGTCATGATGAATATTAACAATGGTTTATATCATCTCATGATGTCTCATGTACTACGAATTATTTAAGATTTTTGAAACAATAAACTCAAATAAACCTTTCATCCATTTAATATTTTAACAATGAATGTAAAGGTGTTCAAAGATAGGTTACTGTCAAAGCAAAGTTGAAATAAGTCATTTAAAAAACCAGGATATTTTCATTCGCTGAAAATGTTTGGCACCCCCTCAGGTCCGTCCCGGCAAAAAACCGGTCCGTCCAAAAACGACAAAGTGGACAAAAGCCATCCAGTGAAAATAACAGGGTGGACAAAGGCCCTCCTGTGTAAACGTCAGGGCGGACATAAGCCCTCCCGCAGCAAATATATATATGTATGTTGTATACCATGTTTTTCTTTTTATTACATTCGACATATTAAAATTGTAACGTAAACAAAAACAAAAACAGAAATATATATATGTGTGTGTGTGTGTGCGTGTGTGTGCGTGTGTGTGTTGACCTAAGATTGTATGTGAGCTAGAACACACTTGTGCCGTATTGCGGAACATTCAATTTTTGAATAAGCCATCTCTTTTGTTACTCTTTTTACACAAATGTCGTTAAAAAAACAAAGTCACTTTTAAAATTGACTCATTACAAGACACTTTTACTGTTACTTTTAGTTAATTTCTTTTTCCCTCTTTTAATTTTAACTTCATGCGGGAGTAATCGATTCATATTTACGTGAATAAATATGCACTTACATATTTTAGCATTTATTATTCAGATGCCTGTCCGGAATGTTCTAGAATATGGCATAAGTGTGGTAAAGCTCATAAAAAGTTAAAAAATAAAACACGCTTATGCCAATGAAAAACAAAAAATATTCATGATTATAATTTTAATATGTTGCGTGCATTGAAAAGAAAAAAAAAAAACAAGGTATTCAACATACATACATATATATATTTGCTGCGGGAGGGCTTATGTCCCCTGTCATATACACGAGACGGCTTTTGTCCGCCCTGTCATCTTCATGGTAGGGCTTTTGTCTGCCCCGTCATTTTTACGGGAGGGCCTTTGTCCGACTTGTTGTTGTTGTTTTTTGGACGGTGGGGGGGGGGGCTTTTGTCCTACACTCGTCCATCCAACCGCTTCCACTTTTTTTTGTAACAACAAAAGCTAATTACGATGTTAAGAAAAACAAAAGCTAACTGCGCTTTTACGATGCCAGACGCATGGAAGAAAACATCCTGATCCGTTGCTTGAATTTATTTCATTAATTTCTATACAATTAAGCAATATTCAAATGACTTCTTGTATCGATCAGTAAAAACACAAATGAATCGGTTGAATGAAGCCAAGTTAATCAGTATATGCAGGAATGGAATTGACCGGTCGTATATATATATTTATATTTATTTACACATGAATTTTCTTCCGTAACGTACATTAAGAAAACGAACGGGTGATTTTAAATGTAACATCAAAACATGTATACCATAATGCAAATCCCAAAAGAATGAGAAGGTAATAAACCGACAATTGTAAAAGTGATGACGTATGTTCGATACATGAATTATTCATAGCCAATAAGTTTTTGTCACCAAGATAAAACGGTTATTCCTTTTATTATATTATCATTTCTTTAATAGGCTTGCTCTAGTAAAATAATTATGATCATTATAATCGGTTTCCAACATAATCACGCATGCTTGCTAATCCATTGAAAACTGAAAAGTACGTTTGATCGAAATAAAAAGAAATCTATACCTTTCGTAAGAAAAAGTCACGAAGATATTCAATATAAAAGGAAGGATGAATGATAATCTTGTTTATTCTTTATCATGGAAAGAAAACGAAAAGCACTGAGTTTAGAAACAAAATATGGTATTTTATGAGAAATTTGAAAACAAAAGTAAAACTGTAAAAATCAGTTCGTTATATGTTAATCTGTTCGCTATAAAAACTCCTGATACAAGGAACTAATTCGCTATATGCTTATAAGGAACTCCGGATATAAGGAACTGAACAGAACGAGTCAAAGCAGTCTTCTGTATATCAATTGCCGATTTACAACAAGTCAAAGCAGTCTTTTGTATATCAATTACTGCTTTACAACAAGTCAAAGCAGTCTTCTGTATATCAATTACTGCTTTACAACAAGTCAAAGCAGTCTTCTGTATATCAATTACCGATTTACAACAAGTCAAAGCAGTCTTCTGTATATCAATTACTGCTTTACAACAAGGCAAAGCAGTCTTCTGTATATCAATTACTGCTTTACAACAAGGCAAAGCAGTCCTTTGTATATTAATTACTGTTTTACAACAAGAGTCAATGCAGTCCTCTGTATGTCAATTTTTGTTTTACAACAAGTCAAAGCAATCGTCTGTATATCAATAACTGCTTTACAATAAGCCAACTTAAATCATGCCTCAATTTTTCAATTCTGATCTATCTTAATCTCAAGAGTAGCAGCTCTAAGTGGATTGATCTTTACAGACGTCTTATTTTCTTATGTGGTTTGAACTGTGCTTGTTGAATTTACTAGAAATGGCACCAAAGCAAATTTGCTTCTTGTCGTTAATTTGAACTACTTTTAATGCAACAATAGCAACAAAAAAGTACGGGTTATACTTTGTACATAAAGTTGATAAAATTAAGGTTTAATATAATACAGGAGAGGAGCAATTTTACATTTACCCGAGTGAGGGGCGGGCAAGTGTAAAGGTGTCTGTCTCTCAATCCAAGGATCATGGGTTGAAGTCTTTTTGGGTTCACTGATATATTTCTTCGAATTTCACCAGTACAGGTTAGTCAAGAAACAGAGTGATTCAAATAAGCTTCCTCTTAAAATCTGACTGGGTCAATATTATTCCCTGCGGTCTGGAGACCGCAGGGTATTGGTACGCGTTTAACTTTTGAGGCATGGAGGAGCACGTGACCTGTTTTCGGTACACAGTGGGTACATGGAGGAGCATGTGATCTGTAAACCGTACATGATTGGTTAATTGACCTTTTCGAAAACCTAGCAAAATAACGTTTGCCAGTACGTTACGGATTTACCTGTAGGGAATTAGTCCGAATTACACCTAATTAAAAAGAACAAAAAACTATTGCGTGATATTTCTAATTTTCTATAATTATTTTACCGTTTAAGGTGGAAAAACTTGAATGATGTGTTTGAAAATTATCAATGTTTCTTTAATATCTATCTCAAATAAATTGTTGAAAATCTACAAAATTAAAATATTCGTAGTGGCATCTGCCATAATAAATAGAGATATTTTCTGCGTAATGTTGTGTGTTTACTTTATTTATTTTTTGCTCGGAATAATTCATAAAATGGTAGGCATATTTAATCATTTTCTTAAAAAGAAATAATTGTTTTATGTTCGACCTTCTCCGGTCTTCAACGGTCACCAGTTTCCAAAGACCTTCTTCTATATTGATCGTTTATTCAATTGTCAACTATATTCCTGATACAAACGTTTTTTTATCCCCTCACCCCCAAAAATGTTGAAAATAGTTAAATGAAATATCTTTATATCATTAAAATGTTCACCGCAGGAAACCATTTTACTTGTAATGGTCTCGGTAGAGGAGAAGGTACATTATGTGTAAATTTGACTGGGTCAGTACTATAATGGTGAACGTACATTAACTGTAAATTCGAATTTCTGCATGAGGCTGGGTAATTATTTTAAGGGATGTCAGTATTTCTTTCCTTGAAGCCGAGATTTTTCACAAAGCTATTACGTTAAGCGCCCATCGGTGCGTAATTAACAACTTTTACGATAGCTCAGTAGTGTTTAAGTGAATGTCCGTATGTTTTGCGTATATTACACGCAAAGTAATCAACAGGAAATATGTCACTTTTGCTTTAGATTTGACCGGGTAGTTAATATTCGTTAATAGAAATGTTGTTTTTAAGAAACATTGACTCCCCAGGCATAATATTATGAATCCTATACACCAAGTCAGCGGTCTACTCTGGGAATTTTATTGTAATCATCTCCTCCTCACCAATTTCAGAAAAGGAGCACTTTGAATATCATGTTTTGACATTTACAGAATGATTTTAACTTCATGGCATGAGTTTCTCTACATTTTTGAAAAAAACTGTATACTTATCACATAGGTAGATAACATGTATTATATAGATGATCTCTGAAATTTTTTATTTGAAATATGTCAAGAAAATTAAGTCGAACTTGTTTCTTGCTATATAATCATTTATTACAGCTATGTAAATCTTTTTCTAAATTGTAATTCTTATATAATATCTTATTTGACATGTTTAAAAGTACTTACTGTGCAAATATTATATGCAAATGTTATTAAAATGTTTTTAAATAAAAGATAAAAAAATGTGTATTCCTCCACTTTCCATTCGTTTTAATGGCACTCTTCGCCACATTTTCGGTTTAATAAAGCCTATCAACTTCCGCAGCATTGTCCAATAAGACCTACTATAAATCTCTATGTAGGGCGTGATGCGCAAGAAAATGATTCGGCCAGTTTTGCATAGCAACGGACCGCATCGTAAAAAGGTGGTAACCTGCATTTATTTAGTATCCTCTTTATACATATTAATGGCAATCTGTTACAATTAATAATGAAGATGATTTAAATTCATTTCATATACAATCCACTTTCTACTGAAAATCACCGCTAACAGTTTAGTACATGGTCTATTTTAGTCGATTGTACGTTACAAACTCATCTTACAAATAAATAGAAAATTAAACCATTTTAAATAGATATTATGTTATATGTAGTCAAGCTTACCTTTTAAGAAAGGTAGTATGTTCCTGCATAAGATACAATACTTTACGCTGAAAACCTCGTTATTTCGTTACAAAGATAAACAAAACCTATAACTACACCAACAAACATATTTCCTTTTCCGCTATTGTCATGGTGTAGCTGTAAATTATTGATAATTTCAGATTCAGTCTCATATCGATCTTTATATTTTTCAATTCTATCAGCAACAACACTATCGGATACGTGCTGGTATATTGTATTTCAAAAACGGGCTTATTGATTGAACAAAAGTAAAAGAGCTTTTCAAGCATAGCATATCGATAATTCTGTTTGAATGAAGTACTCCGGGTAGAGCGTTAGATACAATCGCAACTTTTCGGCCCTTTCCGTCAGTCTTCGGACACAATAGTATGAGTATGCATGTAAACAAGTAGAAATTTAATGCTGGGTGTTGTTGACAAGTTGTTTTTTAATACATCAATATCCACCTAAAATGAGTAAATTCATAGATATAAAGGTAAATACTACATCATTTATATACTTAGTATTACGGTTGTAGAAACCGAAAGTACAAATGCAATCCTGTTGACATTTAGTCGGATTTGTTTAAAATTGTGCATAAGTGGGCATATTTAATTTAACAGTTACATAAATTAGAACTGTGTCCAAAGGACACGGATGCCCCCCACAGACAACATATACATGACATATAGTGAAACAAGAGCTGTCACAGGAGACAGCGAAGCTCGACTAATAAAATACTGGACGCAGTAAGGAGGACAAAACTATGAAAGAAAAATCAATTATGTATAATTATGTATTAAGTTATAGTAAAAAAATAATATTTGTTAACATAAATTCCAAGATCAAGGGGAATAATTCTAGAAATAGTCATGCTAGAGTTATGGACCTTTTCAAACAACATTTGTGTAATGATAAGAAATATATATTTGAAGTTTGAAGTAGATACCTTAAAAAGTAAAGAAGTTTTTATATTTCTTAAAGAAAATCCTAAGTTCAAAGAGAGATAAATGTGTAAATATTGCTTCAAGAGTTATGAACAGTGTCACATTAAATGTAATTGATGATAAGGAATAAGTATTTGAAGTTTGAGGTAGATACCTTTAAAAATAAAAAAAGTTATAATAAAAAATAACATTTTTCTAGTAAAAAAATCTAAGTTTATGGGGAGATAATTCTTGCAATATATATAATTCTAAGTTCAAAGGGAGATAAATCTGAATATATTGGTGCTAGAGTTATGAACCTTGTCACATAAGATGGGGATGATGATAACGTAAATATATTTGAAGTATGAGGTTGATCCCTTAAGAAATAAAGAAGAAACAGTAAGAAATAGTACTTTTTGAGGAAAATTCTATGTTCAAGGGGAGATAAATCTGAAAATATTGGTGCTAGAGTTATGAACCTTGTCACATAAGATGGGGATGATGATAAGGTACATATATTTGAAGTATGAGGTTGATCCCTTAAGAAATAAAGAAGTAACAGTAAAAAATAGTATTTTTTAAGGAAAATTCTAAGTTCAAGGGGAGATAAAATATTTTACTGCACCAAAACTTTAATCTAAAATCTGGACGCGGACGCGGACGCCGGGGCGAGTAGGACAGCTCTCCATATACTTCGTATAGTCGAGCTAAAAATCAACAAAGGGCCATAATTCTGTTAAATTTGGTCGCAGCAAAAATTCCTTCCTTTACTTCCATCTACACATTAAGGTTGTTCATCCCTGAAAGTTTAATCAAATCTGCCATCCGGTTTAAGAGGAGTTGCGTTCACAAAATTTCTATATGGTATATAGTGAAAAAATCAACAAAGGGACATAATTCTGTTAAAATTTGGTCACAGCAAAAATTCCTTCCTTTACTGCCATCTACACATTAAGGTTGTTCATCCCTGGAAGTTTAAGCAAAATCTGCCATCCGGTTTAAGAGGAGTTGCGTTCACAAGATTTCTATATGGTATATAGTGAAAAAATCGCCACCGCCGGGCGGGGGCAACGCTCGACTTTTTACTTTTTCTAAACGCAATTATAGAAAGGTTTGAACATATATTGACGTTTCCTTTTTATAAATTTAGTTGGTCTGTCTTGTCACATTAGTTTTGTTTATATATTTTGTATATATATGAATAGAAACATTAAGCATATTTCTAAAAATAGCAACAGTACGCAATTTCTTAAAATAGCAACATGACGCAATTTCTAAAATTAGAAAAAAATGACACAATTTCTAAAAATAGAAAAATGACATAACTTCTAAAAATAAAAAAATGACGCAATTTCTAAAAATAGCAACAATGATGCAATTTCTAAAAATAGAAAAATTGACGCAATTTCTAAAAATAGAAAAAATGACGCAATTTCTAAAAATAGCAACAATGCAGCAATTTCTAAAAATAGAAAAAATGACGCAATTTCTAAAAATAGCAACAATGACGCAATTTCTAAAAATATAAAAAAATGACACAATTTCTAAAAATAGAAAAAATGACGCAATTTCTAAAAATAGAAAAAAATGACGCAATTTCTAAAAATAGAAAAAAATGACGCAATTTCTAAAAATAGCAACAATGACGCAATATCTAAAAATAGAAAAAATGACGCAATTTCTAAAAATAGAAAAAAATGACGCAATTTCTAAAAATAGAAACAATGATGCAATTTTTAAAAATAGGAAAAAAATGACGCAATTTCTAAACATAGAAAAAAATGACGCAATTTCTAAAAATAGCAACAATGACGCAATTTCTAAAAATAGAAAAAAAATGACGCAATTTCTAAAAATAGAAAAAATGACGCAATTTATATATATATATATATATATATATCTGCATATATATATTCAAAAAAAAAAAAAAAAAATATATATATATATATACATGTATCCTCCCACAGAAACACTTATCGAACTTCTCGTACTTATTCTGAAATGCAACAACTTTGTTTTCTGTGACAAACATTTCCTACAGGTACAGGGCACGGCTATGGGGACTAAAATGGCGCCATCTTACGCCAACGTGTTTTATGGGCAAATTAGAAGGACAACTGCTAGCTGCAGTACCTCTTAAACCATTCAGTTGGTTACGCTATATAGATGACATTGACATGCAATGGTGTCACGGGGAAGAAGCTTTGCAAGATTTTCATTACAGAGCTAATACTTTTCACAAATCTATAAAGTTCACCACTGAGGTATCAAACGAACAACATGTTTTTTCTCGACACAGTATCTCATATTAAAGACAATCATATAATTACTGGATTTTTATTCAAAACCCACAGATAAACATCAAATACCTTCTTCCAAGCAGCTGCCACCCTCGACACTGTTGTAAGAACATACCATACAGTTTGGCTTTGAGAATAAAACGAATCTGTTCAAATCCCAGCACGTTCTATATCAGAGCAAAAAGAACTGTCTGAACATCTTAGGAAGCGAGGATACAAGGAACAAGACATTGCAAACGCGATCTTAAATGCAGACAGCAAGCACAGGAAGGACTTACTAGAGTACAAACATCAATCTAGTGGTTCTACACAAAATAAAATTCCATTTGTGCTCACATATCACCCAGACTTACCTAACACTAGAGCCATCATTGACAAACATTGGCCAATTATTGAGTCTTCACAGAAACTTAACAAGATGTTCCCAACTAAACCCAACCATTGCATATAGGAGGACCTAAAAGCCTCAGGGACATACTTGTTCGAGCCCAACTGAGGACCAATAATGACAGATAAAGAAGGTCAGTCCGGACCATGTGGCACACCAAGATGCCAAACCTGTGCTGTCATGCTTCCTTACAAAAAACATTCTCTTCAAAAAATAGGGGCCAAAAACATCTCTCAAAGACATAATGAATTGTAAAACGGCTAACGTTATTTATCTTATTTCTTGCAAAGTGTGTAACAAACAATATGTCGGTGAAACCAAACTTCCATTAAATAAACGAATGAACTTACACCGCTCTGACTGGAAAACGCGAAAATTTAACAGATCCCAGTTGCTGAACATTTTCACCTTGAGGGACACAGTTTTAAAAAGACGTGTCCCTCTGTTGTATTGAACATAACACAAAGTGGTCAGATATAACACGGAAAATCACGCGAGACATACTGGATTCGCCGACTGAATACGCTAGAGCCATCAGGAATCAATAAAGGAGACTAATTTACACACTTTTTCTCGCCCATTCTTGACAAACTTAAAAAAAACCTAACTTTAGTCAACAGGCGGTGTCGGGGAGGGCTATTTTTCCCTTGCCTGAGAGCTTCGTTTTTACTTTCACCTTATCGTAAATTTTCCACTTTATATAACATCATACTGTTTGTAACTTGCATTTTCTTACATCATACTTATAGTAATAAAAAACACAAAAAACGCCCTTATATGTGAAGTTTTATTTTTTTTAGTTTATATATATTTTTCTTTTAAACGATATATTTAACCGAGTTTTATGCCATATTGACCGCGGGCTATATTCTCTTTTGTAAAATTACTACACAATGACCATTCAATAACGGTCTATTCATAATCGATGTAATTTTATCACCTTTCTAGCGACTGTGTTTTAGTTCAATTTTGATACTATACAGTACACACGTATTGAGATTTTGTGCTCGATTGTGTGCACATTACATGTAATACACCCCTTGATGAAGCATAATACGCCGAAAGTACTTGGGTATTTATACTTTAGCACTGTATGAACGTTTATTTTCTCCAAATTTATTGTTTTTTTTTCCACGTTCTTGTATCCTTCTTTGGATCCAGTGTTTTTGAAAGGTATTTGTAGATGCAAATATTTTTCACAAACCTAATGTATATATATATATATATATATATATATATATATATATATATATATATATATATATATATATATATATATATATGTGTGTGTATATATATATATATATATATATATATATATATATATATATATATATATCTATATATATATATATACACACATGTATATATATGTCTATATATATATATATTTGATATATATATATATATCTATATATATATATATACATATATCTCTCTCTCTCTCTATATATATATATATATATATATATATATATATATATATATATATATATATATATATACATATACACACACACATTTTATATAAATAGCAAAGTTACAGTCAGTTACTGCCAAAACAATGAAAATTTCAATAATTTGACCTTCAAAGACAATGTCATTAATGAGTGAAGGTCAAGGTCTTTCGGTATATTTTTAACAGTTATCTTTGAAGATTATTATGTTCAAGTTTGAAGACAATCCATTTAAAAATAACAAAGTTACAGCCAATTATAGCCAAAAAAAATGAAAATTTCAATAATCTGACCTTCAAAAGTCAAGGTCATTGATGAGTGAAGGTCAAGGTCTGACTGGTTATTTTAAGGGATATCCTTGAAGATTATTATGTTCAAGTTTGAAGACAATCCATTCAAAAAAATAACAAAGTAACAGCCAATAACAGCATGAACAAGCAAAAATTGGACTTTTAACCTTGAAGGTCAAGGTCATTTATGGATGAAGGTCAAGGTTAGTGTGGTCTACTGAAAGGTCTTGTCCCAAGGGTTGTTGTGGCCAAGTATGAAGACAATACACCAAGAAATAAAAAAGTTATGATCCAGGTACAAGTTTTCGGACGGCAACGGCAACGGCAACGCCGACCTGACTATAACAATACCTCTACTTTTTTTTTCAAAAAAAAAAAAAGTCGAGCTAAAAATCAACAAAGGGCCATAATTCTGTTAAAATTTGGTCACAGCAAAAATTCCTTCCTTTACTGCCATCTACACATTCAGGAGACAACAGACACTTTCCGTGGTACTCACATAAATGTCATTTAAACCAACTTATTTTAGTAATAATTGTTATTTATTTAACATTGTGCATTAAATGTCGTTGATCGTCATAAAAAATAACATATTTGAAAAAATGCCTTTGTAAATGATTGATTTTTAATAAAAATCCTAAAATTTTAAATCGTCATATCAAAGTCATTTTTTATTTTTTTTGTCATCAAACTTTTGGAAAATAAACATACTTATAAATATCTGGGGAACCGTGTCTCAATTTTTTTCTATCTTTCCTCAAAAAATATTACGTAACGTCAAACATT